AACATATTGAACCTGAAGCTAATTTTGGTTTGGATATGGAAAAGGGGGAAGAAGAAGATAATGATGACATTCACTATCCCAACATCAGAGTGGAGCCAGACCATCCGCTTCTGGCAGAAGCTCGAATGCTAGGAGTCGAGAAGAGGCTGCACATAATGCATAATTTACCATTACGATGAATGTTGTACTACGTTTTTCTGTCTTACCAAGATCTCCTTTTCACCAATATGTTTTTGATGAATATCTTATTTTATTTTCTCTTGTTCAAATTTAGCAGTAGGGTAGAGGGTGTAATTCAAGACCACACTAGAATGTTGTACATTTTAGTATTTTTGACCCGCACTTGTCCAAATAGCTGGAAAATAAAACTTGAATATATGTTTGTCTTCAATGAATTTATTATATGACAATATATGACAATACATTTTATATCACAGAATCAAATTGTTAATAAATTTAAAATAAGATTTTCTTGCTGATTGCTTCAGTGAAAAAAGTTAGTGAAAAAAAAAGTTTTTTCAAACAAATATAAATAAACAAAAAAATATCATAGCAGGGGATAAGATAATTTCATTTTTCTTATCTTGGAATTGGAAGCCAAAGGGCAAGATTGGGCGCTTTGACAAAGTTATTTCAAGGTTGGTTCGATACTTTCATATTGCTTGGAATAATCTCTGTGATGTCAAAAGACAGACTAGGTTTTATAAAGTAGCTTTTTTCTTTAGTTTAACTATCACAGAATCAATATTAATATTACATTTCAAAGAATAAGATTTTCTTGCGGCGACGCCGGACATAGCAAAGTTATGTTTGATCATAAAATAAAAATAATGACACTTTTGACACTAAGATAGTAAAGATAATGACAAGTAGAAAAAGAACTGTTTCAACAAACATGAATAATTAAACAAAAAATATCACAGAGGATAAAAGAACTTCATTTTTCCAGGACAGTATCTGGATCAATTCCAGCTCTTATAAGGGAAGCCCTGGCAAGTGCATTGGCAGCTCTGGCTAAGTTATTTCTAGCTTTGATATTTTCATTGGTTTGCTTTAATTTTTGGGCTGCCAAAGACAGCTTCGGTTTTACAAACTTATTCGGTTTTCCTAAATTTGGCAACTCTTGCTGAACACCCTTTTTCCACACTTCCACAGAACTGCCTGCTGCCATAGTAAATTCTGGCTTGCTAACAACACTGTCAGAGAAAAGAAGGTTCATAATGTCATAGTATGGCCATGTAATTGCACTACTGCTGCTTGATCCTGTTGCTCTTAATTGAGTTAGAAGTTTGTCATAGAACCCTTTCAGTCTGTCCATTTTTGATATGACTGTTGCTAGAGAAAACTTCTGTGATCTGGCTGGGTATTCAGTTTTCAGTTTCATAATTATCTCTTGCCAAACATGATTGTTGCGCACAGTTGGTGAATCAAATTTGTCTTTCCTTTCAACATATTCATGAATTAGCAACAGAGTCTCCTCTGAGGTCCAGCCATCATCTACAACACAAAAAGGGAAACCATTAAAACCATAAACAAACAGTCATGCAAGAAAAATAGTTGAGAATTTCTTACCATGCCACAATGGTTCAGCATAATGCCCGAGAAAAGCTTTGATTATCTGGGAATGTTGCCATTGCTTTTCTGTTTCAGTGCCAACAATTTCTCGATAGTATGTCACCATGCTTTTCTTTCTGCACTTTAAAGCGTACATAGTAATTGAATGTCCTTTATCTGTGACTTCCTTCAAGGCAGCTTCATAATGCACACCTATCTGTGTTCCTCTTTTATATCTATTGTTCAAAAAACTAAGAGCAAGTGCCGATCCTAAGGGATCAGGATCATTTGGATCCACATTAGAACCACTTTGAGGCACACCCTCTGCATCATTTACTTCAAGCATGGAGCAAGTAGATATGTCCTCAGCGTCCTCTGTTGTGGGGGAACTTGGGAAAAAATCCTCAGCATCGTCCACTTCCACCAGTGACTCACTTATTTGAGCTAAATCATCTGTAGGAGGGCTATCAAGCCTACTTCTCTTTGTATTATCCGCTAGATAGGATATTGTGGTGTTTGTATCTGATTGAATAATAAATGTGCATTATACTCTTCTATCACATTTTAAATTATTACCAAAGAAACACTTACTTATACCTGATTGCCCACTGGCGGCAGAAGTTGTAGAAATTTCATAAGTAGCAGCGTGTGGAGGTTGATTTGGGAGACTAGGTACCTGAGAACTTCCAGGCAGGCTAATAATTTGTGGAGCAGCAGAAATATTTGACCCAGGGGTAGTTTGATGTACAGTTGACTGAGGTCCAAGATAGGTATCTGGATCAATAATAAATTTGAATTACATTCTTGTATTAATCACAATTTTTATTACTGCAAAGAAACTTACTTGAAGTTGATTGCCCACTGGTGACAGAAGAAGAAGTTTTTTGAGTTGTAGGGTGTGGTGGACGATTTGGGAGACCAGATACCTTTGAATAACATCCAGCCACACTAATAATTTGTGGAGCAGCAGAAATACTTGACCCAGGGGTAGTTTGACGTACAGTTGACTGAGGTCCAAGATGGGTATCTGGTTCAATAATAGATTTGCATTATATTCTTGTATTGATCACAATAATTTATATAACTGCTAAAGAAACTTACTTGAAGTTGATTGCCTACTGGGGGCAGAAGTAGAAGTAATTTTATGAGTAGAAGGGTGTGACGGACGATTTTGGACACCAGGTACCTTAGAACTTCCAGGCACACTAATAATTTGTGGAGCAGCAGAGATATTTGACCCAGGGATGGTTTGACTTACAGTTGGCTGAGGTCCAAGATAGGTAGAGGATTTTGTATCTGGTTCAATAATAAATTTGCATTATATTCTTGTATTGATCACAATAATTTATATAACTGCTAAAGAAACTTACTTGAAGTTGATTGCCCACTGGTGATAGAAGAAGTTTTTTGAGTTGAAGGGTGTGGTGGACGATTTGGGAGACCAGATACCTTAGTTCCAGCCATACTAATAATTTTTGGAGAAGCAGAAACATTTGACCCCGGGACGGTTTGATGTACAGTTGACTGAGGTCCAAGATAGGTAGAGGACTTTGTATCTGGTTCAATAATAAATTTGCATTATATATTCTTGTATTGATCACAATAATTTATAAAACTGCTAAAGAAACGTACTTGAAGTTGATTGCCTACTGGGGGCAGAAGTAGAAGTAATTTTATGAGTAGAAGGGTGTGACGGACGATTTTGGACACCAGGTACCTTAGAACTTCCAGCCACACTAATAATTTGTGGAGCACCAGAGATATTTGACCCAGGGATGATTTGACTTACAGTTGACTGTGGTTGAAAAAGATAGGTTGTGGGCTTTGCATCTGGTTCAATAATAAATTTGCATTACATTCTTGTGTTATACACATTTCATATATTATTGCTGAAGAAACTCACTAGAAGTTGATCGGCTACTGGTGACAGAAGTTGCATGTGGCGGTCGATTTGGGACACAAGCAGGTCTGGTGTCGACTAACCTATATACTCTCTGAGTACCACTTTGAGAGACTGCAGAGTTTGAAACTAGTGGGAAAAATTTGCATCATACAATTTTCTTAATGGTACTTTTTTTTTTCAAAACTACTGTCAAAGAGACTTACTTGAGACTGATGGTCCACAGGCAGCTGAAAACTGAAGGGCAGGTCGAATTTGACTTGGAGTATTGGAGGTAATAGGAATAAGGGCTGGACGAATTTGATTAGCGGCCGGGGTAATAAGCCTAAAAGTCCTCCTCAAAATGTTTGGTTTCCCTCTACCTGTACCACCTGTTATGCAGTGCAATACAATTTAGACACATAGAAGTACACAGAATTGTAATAATTCTAATAATGTATCAGTAGCTGTTAATTACGGTTATCATTACCAGTAGTATAGATGGGGACCTGTCACTGTCCGCCATCTTGATGGGGACCTGTCCCCCTACCGCCATTTTGATTTTTTGCATCCCCCTACCCTCGAGGGGTGAAAAAAGGGTATCTTTTGAGTACCTAACATAAACCTAATTTTTTGAAAAGGGTGTCTTATGGGTGTCTAACCCAAACCTAATTTTTAAAAATGGTGTCTTATGGGTGACTAACCCAAACCTAACTTTTTGAAGGGTGTCTTAGGGGTTGCTAACATAAACCTAATTTTTGAAGGGTGTCTTTTGAGTGTGTAACATAAACCTATTTTTATATGGGTTGTCTGAAAGGGCGACAAACTCCCACCTAACGTTTTGAAGGGTATCTTAGGGGTGTGTAACATTAACCTAACTTTGAATTAAAGACGTGTATGGACATGTCTTATGGGTGTGTAACATGAACCTATTTTTTGAGTGGGTGTCTTAGGGGTTGCTAACACAACCTAACTTTTTTGGAAGGGTGTCTTACCCAGCAGACACATATGTCGAGATGAAAGACCAGGTGTGTTGTAAGCACAGCGAATAAAATGGCAGAACGGCTCAGTGGTCTAAGGCGCCGACGAGTTAACCGTCGAGGCTTCAGGTCATGGGGTCGAATACCCCCGCCGTATCTAACATTTTTTTTTTCTTAACAAGCAAAAACATTTTTTAAATTTTATTTTTTTATTAATTTTTATTAATTTTAAGTTTTTGGGGTGTGGACTCAAACACGTCTGTATTCATACCATAAGCCTATGCGTTTCGCATTTCTCTCTGCACAGGAGTACATTTGGTGTAAGTCTGAACCGTTGTGATCTCTTACTGCCAAATAGGGTAGTTTACTGAGCCTCGGACAGCCAAGGACTCCAATATCTATGACGTTGGCATGACGCACTATGTTTTGAAGGATTTTTTTCTTTTCATCCCCCTTGACATAGAGAGTGGTGTAATGATATGTCACCATCTTTATGTAGTCTTCACTGTTGGAGTTTCTGCCCTGTTCCCACGCTATGCCGTGAATTTTCTCGGTGACATAGGCATTGTGTTTGAGTTGGGCGGGTGTGAGAAGAGAGGCTGGGTAGGGTGAAGCAAATATTTCTGTGTAGCTTAAATCAAAGAATGGGTCATATTTGCTGAACTCCTTGATGATGTACTGATCATCTGATCCCCTCAGCATTTGCATGTCGCAGAAAGCATACGACATGGCGAAGTCGATCGGATGAAACCGAGGGCGGGGCACAGAGAATGAGCAAGAAGGGCAAGCCATGATGTGCACACCAGAAGACGAACCGAAGGAATGACTGATGGGCGCGAGAGCCCTTCTTTTATACGTGCGTTCCGCCGCTCGAGGCGCCACCTATCGGCAGGTGTCGGAAATAATAATATTGAACGTGTCTCAACGTGTGTTGGACATCCGCGCGCCTGCCGCGCCGCGCGCCTGCCGCGCCGCAACCCGCCCGCACGGCTGCTGACTGGGTTGCCTACCTGCCAGTGGCCCTCGAGCGCGTAGCGTCCGCTCGGCTCGACTCGGCTCAGTTCGCTCACGGGGTGCAGGGAGTGCGGCCAGAGGCTCTAGACCCAGGGTGAGCACCTCGTGGTCTTCACCCTGGTCCCGCACATGAAGGCCCTGGCGGTGGAGGGATCGTAGCCATGCCTTGGCTGTGTGCACGGCGAGGAGGGAGGGGAGCGCGGTCCCCCCGACCCAAGCCAGCCGGCACCAGAGCTCCGACTCTGGTCGGCCCGCTGCGCGGCGGGCAGACGCGGGGGTGAGGCGGGGAAAGGGAAGGGTTCTCGCGGGGCGCGCGGGGTTGGAGGGGGGCAGCGCGGCTCGGCTGGCGGGCGAGACAGCCGGCGCTCAGCGGCATTGTTCGTCTGAGTCTCGAGCTGTTGCCATCGCCCTCGCCATGGACCTCATTCAAGGGTACGGTGCAGAGGACACGTCGGCCTCCGGCTCAGCGACCAGCTCATCATCCTCGAGCTCATCATCCTCGAGCTCATCATCCTCGAGTTCATCATCCTCGAGCTCATCATCCTCGAGCTCATGGTGTTCGTGTTCGTCTCCTAGCAGCTCAACGTCCGCTGCGAGCACGTGCGACCAGAGCGGCGATACTTTGATCTTGGACCATAGCTCGTTGTTGAGGGAGATGGATGCGCTGCTTGTAAGTACCTCTGATCCATGTGTTTCTGTGAGGACACTGTTTTTGCGAATGAATTTTATAAAACCAATGTCCTCAAAAACAGTTCTATGTCAAAATAATGTTCAAAATGCGATGTAGCGGCGGTAACGCGTTACCGTGTGGCTCTCTAAGATCTCTCTCCGCAAAAAGAACACGAAACGACATAGAGTTGTTTTATTTCAGTCGATCATCAACCGCGTAGCCGCCCAATGCGGCACGACTCGCGACATTTTGCTGCCCAATGCAGCCGGTTTGTATTTTAAAGGGTGAGTGCAATGTGTGCTTAAGCGAGAAATCGCTCTGTCCTTCCCTGTTTTTTTAAAGTGCACTCGGCATGATTTGCCTTGTTGCAGCTGTAAATATCACGCTTGCATGCTTTTGAGGTTAAAACGTGTTGAATCTTGTCTGACGCGGCGGCCGCGCGGCGGCCGCACCGTGAGACGCGGGTAGGGCCGAGGGCGCGGGGAGAGGAGGAAGGGGTTCATCGCCAGGCGTCGCCAGGCGCTGGCTCAGACAGGCGAGGGGCGGGTGGAGGGGGAAGGCTGTTTGTCGCGCGCTGTGCTGTTGCTACGCCGGGGGACCGTCCGTCAACAGGGGTCGATTGTAAATTTGTGGCGCGTGTGTGTGAGTGAGTGTGTGTGTGTGTGTGTGTGTGTGTGTGTGTGTGTGCGCGCGCGCAGGGTCGGCAGCGCCCCGCCAGCCTGAGTGTCCGCGCCCAGGTCGGGAAAAGCAAGCGGTGTCCTGGTTGGAGGCAGGGAAGGGGGAGGGGCAGGGAGGGAATCAGCTGTTACTAACTTTGCTTGCATTACACGGGGCCTCTGCTCAGGGAAGGGGTAGGCAAATGCCGTGATTGTACAACTGTGATTAAAATGTGTTTTTTGACCAATCTTTAACAGTCGTCCAGCTGGGAGGCCCCCCTCATCGTCGCGACGCCATCCCCGGTGCGGAAAGACCACGATGCAGCCCTGCCTCTTTCTTTGTCTTTCGGGACAGAGGCATGTGACGGCGTAAGTGTCACTTACCCCCCTCTTTCTTCCTGGTTCAACGATGTGTTCGTGTACTGTGCCAACTCATGCGTACGTATTTTGTTTCATAGTTTGAGGTTGAGGAACTCAGCGGCACTGAAGCAGTGGATGTCCTCCCCTCATTTGATCTCCCGGTCCTCGTTGACCCACTCCCCGTCGAGCCGGTGAAGCACCTGTTCGTTGGACGTCAGTCGGAAGTCTCGAGACCGGATGAAATTGCTGCTAAGCCTGAGGAGGAACCCCTTCCTTTCGAACTCGATGGAGAGGACTTCCCCGCCCCCGTGGAGCATGCTGCGCATGACGCAGGTGCGTCACCACCTGATGGCGTCATGTTGCCGTTAGTATTATTTTGCTTGAGTCCTTAGCAGTACCGGTTGTATCAGAGCGTACGCTTTCAGTCTAATGGTTTTCCTAGTCCCTTTGGCCCTGCGCCCACAGGAGATACAATCTCACAAGCGTCCGCTTTGATACGCCCGTGCTCATTTTGTAACAGCTTTTTTTTTCTTAATTTCAGGGAGGAGATTTTCCAACGACGAAAGAGCAGCCGAAAGCGACCACACACCCCTGCGCCTAGGAGGGCAACAGCAGAGTTTCAGGGGCCATCTTATTCTGATGCTGTGATGGCACATCCTATGCCAGAAGTACCGTTTCCTGTGTTCCATGTACCACCTCCCCCGCCTCACACTGTGCAA